AAACTGAGGTACAGGCTGTTAATTCATTAAGGTAACAGTTTGGGATAGATCTGTGATTTAAAAACAAATTTTGCTTCTTCATTGTTCAATCATTCACATTACTAATATTCATGGCGAGGAATCATTAATGCTGTGTTCTATTGCTTAATAAAATTAATGTCTGCATAAAGTATAATGGAACATAGTAAATAGGTTGATAGAGTTTGGATATTTGTCTCCTCCAAATCTCATGTTGAAATGTGGTCCCCAGTGTTAGAGGTTTGGGTTTAGTGGGAAGGTGTTTGGGTCGTGGGGGCCGTTCCCTGCTGAATGGCATGGTACCCCCAAGAGAGTTCTTGCTCTATTGGTTCACTGGAGAGCTGACTGTTTAAAATAACATAGGTACCCGCCTCTTTCACTCCTTCTCCTGCCGTTTGATAGGCTTGCTCCCCTCGCACCTTCTACCGTGAGAGTGAGCTTCCCGGGACCCTCACCAAAAGCAGACGCTGGCCCCATACAGACTGCAAAGTGGTGAGCCAAATACAACTCTGTTCTTTCTAAATTACCCAGCCATAGGCATTCCTTTAGAGCAGCACAAAACAGGCTAAGACACATGTTAATATTACAATAAATGACAAAAATAAATATTAAGTACAATCATAAGTGTTATTCCCTTCCTTCCTTCCTTTATTGCCTTCCATTAAAAAGCCTTCTTCAGTTTCTGCTAAACCAAAAACTCTTAATCTGAGGTCCCTCCCAAAGGATTGGTGGATAAAATTCTGGAGCAGGCAAGGAGGAATATATATGGACTTGGATCGAAAAAAAATGACATTTTAATTTCACTAACCTCTAATTGAAATTTGTTATGGTTTTCAATTATAAATATTGGCAACAAACTACTGTAGTATTTAGAAATATGTATAACTATGTCTCTGTATAACAGAAATTGCATATTTTAAACTATCATTTTACAAGTGTTACAAATATCTTGAAATCTCATTTATGCATATCTCAATTTTTAAAATGACAGTAGTTAGATGCACTGCTAACTATTTTATCTAATACTTTCATAAAGAAGCATATCTATTACTATGTCTCAAATATTTTAATATTTGATAATTACATTTCAATATAATTTATCTCTTTTATAATTTTATGCAGTTTATGTATTTGAAAAATTATTGAGGAGAGTCTGTGGGCTTTACTGTAGAAAAGTCATGTATTAGAGGTAAATTTTTATACAAATGGGAGCTGGGGTACAGGGAGGGTGACTGTTCCTGGTCTCTGCAAAGCAAGAGGGTCCTGAACCAGAGACCATTCCTGAGAAACTCCTTCCCACACACCTTGCTTAGACCAGTGAATGAGCAGAATAACCCCTTGGTTAGCTTACTTTGTCATGATTGAAGAAAGAAGCATGTCCTCATGGCCAGAAAGCTCAGCAATTGGTGTCTCTCCAAATACTGACCAAGGCTCAGGGCCCTGCAGTAGCCAGTGGGCCATTTAGAAGCTTGGTACTGACACCTGGGTTCCTGTGAGGCTTCCAGTGTCGTCCCAGGCAAGCTCTTCAAGACTCTGAGCCTAGAACTCATTGCATGTGAAACTGGGATAATAAGGCTTGATGTTTATAAAGTGCTTTACAACTTTCGAACTACTACTGTATCCCTTCGGTTCTCACCACGCTGTTTTGGGGCTGGAAAAGCATTATCACTCTTACATCATATACAAGTAACCAGGCTTTGTGGGGTCAGGGAGCTTGCCAAAGATTCTGCGTGAGTTCGTTCATTGGCAGGGCTGGGAGTAGAACCCAAATTTTCATGCCCTTAGAAAGAAACCCTTTCTCCACCTGGGCAGCTTCACAGGGCCTTCCCACAGAAATGTCCCAGGCACCATTCCTCCTGCTATTATCCTCCTTAAAGACACAGTCCCTCCAGTGACCCTTCATTCCATCCCACAATGATCCCTTTCTGCCCTGCTCTCGCGGAGCACCTGACATGTGCCTTTTCACCTTGGGTGGATTCCTGTCTTAAATTGTGATGCTCTTGTGTGCTGCTATCAGTGTGAAGCTCAGGTGTACCACACAGTAGCTGGTTGACTTTGGGCCAGTCACCTAAGCTGCCTGAGCCTTTTATTTTTTCATCTATAAATTGGGATGATAAAAAGTTCAGGGGTTTGTTGCGAAAATAAATAAGAGGAGGTATAAAGATGTTTTCGTAGAATGGTAAAATGCTTTATAAAATGTCACTTGATTCTATTAAACAATGAAAATAAAGATAGGTTGGGAGATGGTGAAGCACAGTGATTCAGAAAAGGGATCTGAGTGCAAACAGACCATGCAAGTCTTGGCTACAGTACTCTGCAATCCTTCAGTCTTTATAGGTGGAGAAGACAGCTGGGATAGGTCCCCAAGACTGATTTGTAATCAGCCCTGTTCACTCTGCTCTATAACATGGTGTCTCTGACTAGAGAAAAAAAAATAGCAAGGCATGATATTTGGATAGAAATTTCAAAGGTTGCTGGGAAAACTGGATAGCTACATGCAGAAGAATGAATCAGGATCCCTACCTCTCACCTCTCACAAAAATCTACTCAAGATGGATAATAGACTTGAACCTAAGGCATGAAACCTTAAGAATCCTAGAAGAAGATGTTGGGAAAACCCTTTCAGACACTGGCCTAGACAAATAATTTTTGAAGAAGACCCCCAAAGCAATCACTGCAGCAACAAAAATAAACAAATGGGATCTGATCAAATTAAAAAGCTTCTGCACAGCCAAGGAAACTATCATTCGAGCAAATAGACGATGTACAGAATGGGAGAAAATATTTGCTCTCTACACTTCCGATAAAGGTCTGATAACAAGAATCTATCTAGAACTCAAAAGAATTAACAAGAAAAAATCAAACAGCCCCATCAATAAATGGGCAATGGAAATGAACAGAAACTTTTCCAAAGACAGAATAATGGCCTGCAGACATATATAAAAAAAGGCTAAACATCTCTAATCATTAGAAAAATGCAAATCAAAACCACAATGAGATATCACCTAACCCCAGTGAGATTGGCCTGTATCAAGAAATCCCCAAACAACAAATGCTGACAAGGATGTGGAGAGACAGGAACACTCTTACACTGCTGGTGGGACTGCAAATTAGTGCAACCTTTGTGGAAAAGAATATGTAGATACCTCAAACAGCTAAAAATAGAAGTACCATTCGACCCAGCAATAACATTATTAGGCATCTACCCAAAAGAGCATAAGACATTCTATTATAAAGACATCTGCACCTGAATGTTTATGGCAGCACAATTCACTATTGCAAGGACATGGAAACAACCCAAGTGCCCATCAATTCTGAGTGGATTATTAAAATTTGGTATATGTTTACAATGGAATATCACTCAATTCTAAGAAACAACAGCAAGCTAGCACTGCTTATATTATCCTGGATTGAGCTTAAGCCCATTATCCAAAGTGAGGTGACACAAGATCAGAAAAATGGGCTCCATATGTACTTGCCATTAAATTGGTACTGATTAACACTATGGTGCTCAAATGGTGGTGGTGTTCACCAGGGATTAGGGGGTTGGAGGGGTAGACCCACATCTGAGGGATGTGGTGAGCATTGTGGAGGGGAGGGGCATACCTCTAACCCTTGCTAGGGAGAAGCAAAGATATAAAATGTAACCAAAATCTTCATACTTTCATATTTTCTTGAAATTAAAAAAAAAAAGACCGAAGGATATATCATGTATACATAACACTTCTTGGTCCCGTTATCTATGTGGCTTTTCAAGGTTCTATCACCCTCATGAGATGGTAAGTTCCATAGGAGCTGAGTCTGTACTTAAGTGCTTTGCATTCTCAGCAGTCAGCACAGAGCAGGGTGAGAAGACTCTCACCGCCATGTTTGCTGCAGCCATAATGGTTCCACCCATTCCATAGCCCAGGGGCCAGGCAGAGGCGGCTGCTAAAGCTTTGAATATAGGACCCATTCTCCTTTCTTCCTTTTAAAAATTTTTTTGAGAAAGAAGCACTTACTTTTAATAGAGAACTAAAACTCCCAGTGAGGATGCTGTTACTTTCATTACAGGTGTTATCAGCTGACAAAAGAGAGAAGGAAGTGTTCATAGAAATTTATTGTTAAATTAAATGCCTGGCCGGACACTACAGCATCCCCCCAACAGATAGAATGAAGTTCGCCACACACCTCTAGCTTGTGAATTCTAGGATCTCGTGATACTTGGTGTTAAACAATTAAGAATGAAAAGGCCTCTTTATCTGAATTATGATATTTCTGTAGGTGGATTTCTGACTTCTATGCAGCACTTTATGCTATACAAATAGTTTTTATTTGCATCATAGCATTTGAGCCTTTTAATAACCTTGCAGAATAGCTGATATTATCCCAATTTTTACTGATGAAGAAATTAGGTCACTGTGAATTAGGTGAATTAGGTCACTCCTCAAGCCTATGCAGCCAGTATGTTTATTGTCTATTGCTATGTAACAAATTACCCCAAAATTTAGTAGTTTAAAACAACAAATATTAGTTATCTCACAATTTCTGTAGGTCAAGAAGCAGGGCACTGCTTAGCCGGGTGCTTCTGGCTCAAGGCCTCTCCTGAGGTTGCAGGCAAGTGTTGCTGAAGGCTCAAATCGGGTAGGATCCATGGCCATGCTGACCAGTGGTCATTGGCAGAACCAGTCCCCTGTAGGATGTTAGACTAAGGGCTTCAATTCCTCACTGTCTGCTGGCCAGAGGCCCCCTCAGTCCCTCGCCATGGGGGCCCCTCCACAGGGCAGCTCACAACATGGACACTGGACATTGGTGTGGCACCTGAGGCAAAAGAGGGGGAGCTTTCATAAAAAGGAAGTGATGCCTGGGGCCAAATGCTATAGAAAAATAAATCATAAAGAAAAGTTACAAATAACCCCTTTTTGAATAGCAATTATGTATCGGGAACTTCACAGCTCTTTCAACGAGGACTTTTTGGGCAATAAATACAAGAACAACCCAGATTCACATAATAAGAACATCTGTTATTTCACATATCAAGAAGAAAGCCATGGAGATAAGACTCCAGCAATAGTATAGGAGGGTTGATTAGGATGTACCCCTGGCTGCGCTGGGTCACCATCCTGGAGGGCGTCCGGCCACCTATACAAGCTGTAAGTTTCTGTTAACCAGTAGGAAGGAGGAAGTGGATGGTGGGTAGGCAACCAACAGCGTCTGCTACAAAGGATCTTCTTCACTGAAACCTTCACAGCAGCTGTGCAGGCAGAGATTATCATCTCCTTCTTTGCAGATGAGGAAACCACGGGAGGCAGAGGTGAGAACCTGCCAGGAAGGCACATCTCGGAAGCAAAGACTCACAATTCAACTCAAGTCCGTCCGATTCCCAAGACTGTGTTTTTTAACCAGCTCATAATGAAATTTTCCTTCCATAGCTCTGCATGGAAGGGCATCCAGTCCTTTCTTTACGTACTGTTTGAGGCGTTTATCTCCCCACTCAAGTATTAACATCTGTGAGGGTGTTGTCTCTAATTGCTGTGACCTTACTTGTTTGTGACTTCATCAGTTTATGACTAATTGCTTCTCCAACTTGTCAAGACTATTTAGAATTCTAATTTTATTTTGCAAGGTGTTAGTCACCTCTTATATTGTAGGATTCACTGAAGAAAGAAACACACTGTCAGCAACATCTTTCCAACTGTGACCAGGATTACTCCCCTGGGCACGACTCACGGGGCCTCCACCTCACAATGCCCCGGCCTCTGGAGGCTGTTTCTCTAGCTTGTTAGCAAGTTTGCTGTGGTACAGAGTCAATGTATTATTGATGATAAGACGGGCTATATTTATTACTTACTTTACCTATAGACCGGCACTCCAGTCTGCCGCAGAAGAGCATTAAATCAGTTTACAAGAAATGGTTTCCAGGCTGGTTTGTGATCACAAACAGCTGTGATCATCCACGTGTTAGCAAATTCATCATCTGGCTTTCTCTGGGGACCTTCCAGGAAACCAGGTCACAGTGATTGATCAACCATGTCCATGAAATCTTTCTTCACTTGCCCTTGTTTCCCTATATCTTTTTTCTTCTTCTGACACTTGATCCTTACCTTTTATTCATTCCTCTGAATTTCTTTTCCATCAAAGCTTTGGAGCCATGCTCAGTGACAAAATAGGCAGAGACTTGGAGAATAGTGCATTGTTCGTGGATCGTTAACCTTCCAGTGTTGACAACTGATAACATCCATGCACACTCTGAAAGGGCAAAAGGAGCAAACAAGATGGGTAGGCACCAAAGCTAGTACAGTTTTAAGGTTATATAATTTGCTTTAGGTCCCCAAGGTCCCCGTTGACCAGTGTCTTGCTTCTTCCTACTCAACTGTTGGTCTCCCCCTCCGTGAAGGATGTCTATAGGATAGCCATGCAGTGAGAAGGTGTTGACCTCACGGAAGTGAATCATAATAGCTATATTGAGTCCTTATTGTGTGCCAGTCACTGTGGTCAGCATTTATCATACTATCTCTCTCTCTTTTTTAATCTTCAAAACAACTCTTCAAGGTAGCTACTATAAATAGCCCTGTGTCACAGCAAAGGAAACTGAGGCCTGAAGAGGTTAAGCAATTTGCCCAAGTTACACCCAGGTAGTGATAACCTGAAATTCCAATCCAAGTTTATTGTTTGGTTTGGTTTCATTTTTGTTTGTTTGCTTTTAGCTCCAGAGATAAGAATTCTAAACCATTCTGCTATTCTATCTTACAAATGCTTAGATGAGCAATAGCAATCCTCTCTTGATTTATTTGTTTATGTCTATCTAAATCTTGCTACTGTGTGTCCAGGACTCAGATTTAAACAAGGAATATCACCTTATCTATTCTTCAGAGTGAGTTGCTTCTTATATCCCCCCAAGTTTTCTCCATAGAGAGGGCAAAACGTCCTTGCCGAACAAGGTAAGAGGTGTGGAGAAGGCTTTGTGCGGGAGAGCTGGCTCAGGCTCTCTCCAGTCCTGGGCTGGTCTGAGCTGGAACAGGCCTCCCAGGAGAGGTGGAACAAGAGCACAGAGGGAAGATGGGGCTACCAATTAGTGTGTTAAAAGGCAGCTATTTTTTTAAACAAATTTCTAAAGGTCAAGTGTAGGCTATGATCAAAGGCAGGACCCCAGGGAGCCACATACACAAGAAGAGATTTAACTCACCCAGAGATTCTTCACTTTGGGCATCTATTGGGTGCCCATTAAGACTAGAGGGAGGGCTTGGGGCCAGAAAAAGCATCTCTCAATGGTGCAGGCCAGCTGCAGGTAAAGTGTGAAACATCCCCCAGACCCTCTCCCCTAAGGAACAAAAGCCACTTGTGGAAGGGCAGCTAACCTTGTCACCCCCAGGTCAAAAACAGAGACCCAGTGGGGCTCAGAGAAAACAAAAACAAAATAAGACAAAAAACCAAAACACACACACAAAACCAAACTCTACTCCTAGGGGAAGAGGAAGGAAATTGCCCTGAGCCAGATTATTAGCTGTACCCCACCACTGCCGGTGGGGCAGGAGCAAAGAGAAAGGCCCATCTTAATGCCATGAGGCAGAGGGCATGCCCAAAACCAGACTGGCTCCCCGGGGAACAAGTAACTGCAAACTAATGCCTGGGACAGAGAAAAGGCAAAGATCCTCTCAGATATACAGGTGCATAGGAAAGGCAGGAGGGATCAGTGGAATAGAGACACTGAGGAAGACTTCCAAGCAGCCAGCCTTGCCCAAGACATGCTAGAGGCATCTGAAGTTGGGGTTGCACTGAAGATAACCACAGCCCCAGCAAAAGCTAAATCCCACCTGGGTTTCATTTGGACTTTCTGAAACTGAGGGTTCATGTCAACCATCAATTCTTTGAATATAGCCTTTTCTCCATTTTCATTCTGGAATTCTAATCAGATGTAAGTTACTCATCTCACCGCCATCATCCATACTTTCCATATTTCCCATCTCAGTGTTTCCCTGTGCTACATTCTGGCTAATTTCATCTTCAAATCCATCTTCCATTTCTCAAGTCCTTTCAGCTGGGGCTAGTCTGCTGCTTAGGCTACTCAATGAGTTTTTAAGTTTCAAGTATTATACTTTTCTTTTTTTAATAGAAGTTCTATTTGATCTTTAAATCTGCCTTGCCACTTTATATTTTCTTGCTCCTTGCTCATAGATTAGACACTTATTTTATATCTTTAAGTATATTAAAAATACTCACTTCGTACACTGCATCTGATAAATCCGATATCTGAAGTACTTGTGTGTCTGATTCTACAGCCTGTTTGTTTCTGCTGGCTCTTATTCATGACACCGTGTCTCTTCTGTGCTTTTTCAGGAAACTCTTGTTTGACTTATCTTTGTGTGGAAAGGACTTCTTGATGCTGCATTCTTCTATAAAGAATTTTTTCTTAAGAGACAGGGTCTCTTTCTGTTGCCCAGGCTGGAGTGTAGTGGTGTGATCATAGCTCACAGTATCCTCAAACTCATGGACTCAAATGATCCTCCTGCCTCAGCCTCCCATAGTGCTGGCATTACAGGTTTAAGCCACTGTGCTCGCTCGGCCCCTATAAGGAATATGTGTTTGTTTTAGCCAGATGATAGGAGGCTACTGATATAATGCCACCTAAAAATAAAATTTCAACTTGCAGTTTTTTAAATTAAATAGCTAATATGAACTTGGTGTGACTACCCCCAAGAAGGCCAAATTTCAGTGAAGAATTCTCAGGAAATAATATTTTTCCCTCTCTACCTGTGGCTAAGTTTAAGGAAGACAATTGTCCTCGTTGACCTTCTTCATGGAGTTGGTTTTTTTGGTTTTGCAATAAAGCAAGCCGGTCCTTTCCAAGGGAAAAAAGGCCAATTAAGGGTCCGAACTCAATCAACCCCCCCAAAGTGAAGGAACCCCCGAAAAAAGGGGGGGCAACAAAGGCAACAAGAAATAAACGAATTCCCTAAAAAAACCGGGGGGTTTGGAATCCCCCCTTCCAACTTGGTTTTGGCAAAGTGAAAACAACTAAAAAAAAAAAAAAGAAAAAAAAGGCCCCCGGCGGGCCGGTAAGCCAATCCCAAAACCAAAAGCCAAGGCCGCCAATTTAAAAAAATGAACGCCAACCAAAAAAAAATCAGAAACTTTTCCTTGGGGCCACAGTGTTTTATTATGAAAACACAATAAAAACTTACAGTGTAATTTAAAGGCAGACACAAATAGAAAAATGAAATTTATTGACTTGTATTCATTTAATCCATGTTTTGGGAATTAAATTATCAATATTAATTGCAACAATAAGAGCATCAGCAAGTAAGATTTTATATATACTTCACGCGGCTCTGAGGTCAAAACTAGATTGAGTTGAGTACAACTCTCATGGCAGTTAATGTGTTAACCATTGTACAATCTTGGGTAATCCGAATTTGTTTGGTCACTTGTAAAACAGGAATAATAATGCTTATCTACACATCTAACTCTCATGAAGACTCAGGATAATGTAAAGTGCCTAGAACAGAGAAGAAAGCTTGCCTGGCACTTAATCATAAGGCAGTTATTATTAATACAAGTTTTCTTAGTAGACTGTCGTGGTATAAATGTCCTGGAATCTTTGATAACTCCAAATTGGCCATTTTCCAGGCAGACTCTCTGCCCAAAGATCATGATAAAGGGGATTTCTTGTTTCTCCATCTTCAGTTTGCCATTCTGTGTCCCAATCAGAAATGATCTAGTAATACAAATGGCTTTTTTTCACTTGTACATCTCTCTGAAAAAAAATAAAATAAAATAAAATCAGGCAGGGAGAATGTCATCCAAGAGACTTAAGTTTTGTGATACAGAATCTTGAAAAGTAACGAGGCATGTGAGCTCAGTGGTGTTTGGGCGGATTCTCCTTCTGCCAGCGTGCTGGTCTTCATGGTGGCGTCCCTAACATCCAAGGGGTTGATTCAATTCCCATGTTCCTGATCCACTTACACTAATGTAATTTGAACCTGGCCTGACAGACACAGACTGATGTACAGACTGTCTTCTCTCGTTTTGGTTGATTTGGCCAGATGAAAATGGATGAGAACTTAATGTCCCTTTGAAAAGTCTTAGATCTATTTTATTTTACATGTGGCAAACCATCTTTATTCTTAAAGAATTTTTAAAGTTTGTTGACTGATGGATATGAGACTGGTCACTTGGGACTTTTTTGTTTACTGTACCCTGTATCAATCACTTAAAATCTGTCTTTCAGAGAAAAAATAGGCTATAGCAGCATCATTCATTGGAGGCTTTCCTATATCTTATGGAATTTTTGCTTATAAAATTATGGGGAAAAAAATCCATGGTTTTTGGTCATTCTTACCCCTTGAAGGATGTTTATGTTAAATTGAATTGATTTTGTTGGCAACTTTACCCCTTCCAATGTTCATTCAGCCTTCCACAAATATTATTGAACCCTACAATGAGTATCTCTGGTTGGGTTCCCTGGGTAACAGAGTGTGAAGCGTAGATTTGCTTGCAGGTTTACTGAGAGTGCTGTTGGGTACAACATCTGTAAGTGAGGGCGGGAGTGGAATTGGGCAGAAGAAGAAAGTAAACTGTGACACAGTTTCAACCAAGGCTTCAACTGGTCCTCCAGAGAGTTCTGGACCTAGGGACAGCCTTTCAGAGTTGCCTTGAACTGGGGCAGGGGCCCAGGACTTCGCACCAGTGCTCTGCCCAGTCATTGAGCTGCAACTACAGAGGGAATGAATGTTGGGCAAGGAACTTCTTTCTACTGAAGGAAATGCATGGGAAAGCACTCAGCTATGAATTTTAGTAGCAGACACTCCCAGCAACAGGGGAAAAGAAAGCATACCTCTGTCCTGAAGACAGGACCTGAGCAATGCATCACAGCGTCCCCCAATCCAGGGATGCCTTGGTGAGCAAAATCCAGCAGTCTCCTGCTTCATAGAAACATAGTCTAGTGGATACTCGCAGTGAAAAGTTGTGTCATAATAGAATGGCTATGGGTGATTGGCTGGGTGGCCGGAATCTTCTCCTGTAGTCTGTCCCTAGGGAACTCGATGTTTTATAGTCATCAGGTGTAACTTATAAAGCTTTTATGAGAATGGATGAGTCAGCAAGGAGACGCCAATTATTTCTGTTCTACAGAGAGAGAAAAACCCAGGCATGACACAGGTGGGGCATATACCAATGAAAGGTTGGAAATGGTAAAAATAGTTACAGGTTATCAAGAATCCCCTCACTGTTAGGACCGCTGTAAACATTACCCTTAACCGTCACATCTACCCTGAAAGGTCGATATTAACAAACTGAATGGACTGAATTACCTATGCTCACACAGCCACTGAGTGACAGTTTGGTAACAGTGTATCTGGTTCTAGAGCCCATGCTTATAGCACCACACCATGCCCAGGCACTCTGATACGTGGGCTAGAAGATTGCATTGCGAAGGCGGGTTTCGCAAAGGGGATTTCTCTGTTTCTCCATCTTCTGTTGTGTCACTCTGTCCCAATCAGAAACAGCACTGGCTTCCAAACAATCTGTGAGTAGAGTTTCAGGATTTCAGAGAATAGTGCATGGGACGTGGTTAAAGGTGAATTTAACCTCAAGCGAGGGCTGCTACAAAACCAGGTGTTCTTGTTTAGGGAATGTG